TCTACTGGGCGTGGGGGCGGGGCCTAGCTGGGCGATCTGCGGCCACAGCTGTCATCGTCGGGCTTCTACTGGGCGGGGGGGGGAGGCAGGCGTAACTCACCAACTCAGAAAGTGGCGGCTGGCAGGGCCCTCGTCCTCATTGTCCTGCAATTAAAATGGCGTCTGGTGACTCGTGAGGTGAATTTTCGCGGCAGTGGTGGTGTGGGTGGGACCTGATCTTCTCTTTCTTATTGGTGGACATACACTAAGTAGCAGGTCCACCGTCTAAACACTAATGGTGCGCATTGGAATGTTGGACCCCACTACAGCTTTATATAAGGGGAGAGATTATTAGTATCACAAAGTTGCACTGACACAACAACCTCTGTGTCCAGTCATATCTGTAAGGAATTCAAGAGGAGAGCAAGGGACATATTTGTGTAAGTTTGAGCAACATTGTTCTAGATGGGCCGTGATGTACATACATGATCATGTTAACCAACATTCATATGTGCTTTCATCTTTGAGAACAGGGAATTCCAAAGATTTATTTATTTAAAATATATGTATCCCATCTTTCTGTCCAATTAGGGCCCTCAAGGTGGCAAACAAACTGTCATTAAAATCAACTTTTAAAAATAGTATATGTATATAAAACCAGCAATTAAAAACAAACAACAAGGAATCATAGAATCATAGAGTTGGAAGGGGCCATACAGACCATACAGACCATCTAGTCCAACCCCCTGCTCAATGCAGGACCAGCCTAAAGCTGACAAATATTCGTCCAGCCTCTTCTTGAAAGCTGTCAGTGAAGGAGAGCTCACCACCTCCCTAGGCAGCTGATTCTACCTTTGAACCACTCTGACCGTGAAAAAGTTTTTCCTAATATCCACACGATATTCCTAATATCCAGCCGATACCTTTCTGCATGTAATTTAAACCCGTTGTTTCGGGTCCTATCCTCTGCTGCCAACTGGAACAGCTCCTTGCCCTCCTCCAAATGACAGCCTTTCAAATATTTAAAGAGAGCAATCATGTCCCCCCCCCCCAGTCTCCTCTTCTCCAAACTAAACGTTTCCAAGGCCCTTAGCCTTTCCTCGAAGGTCAGATGAAACAGAAAAGTCTTCACCTCTTGGCAAAATACCATTATTGAGGACAGGTGAATTTCCCTGGGGAGGGAATTACATAATTTTGGTGCCATGACCTAGAAGGCTTTTTTTTGGGTTGCCGCGTGCCTATTCTCAGATGATGGGGGTGCTTAAAGTAGGGCCTCTGAAGGTGGTCATAATAGTCAGGTAAGTTTGTAAGGGAGTAGGTGGGTAGCAAATTCTGAAAGGGTTGTACTTGCAATTTGATTTTAAGGAATGAAAGGTAGAAAGGAGGATTAAGGAAAAAATGGAGCCAAATGGTACATTGTGGGTGGGACAACAGAATAAGAGGTTGGATCCAACTTAGCTCCAGAAGAAAAAGCATTTGCTATTGCTTCTCTGTCTTGTCTTTCCCTTCTTACAGTGACCCCCAAGACTTCCCAAAAGCTGATGCATGGGATTTAGGTGGACAAAAAGCCCTGCTCTAAGGAAAGGGGCAAGATGAAATCACTCCCCCTTTGCACCACTGGTGCTTCTTGTGCTAGTAGAAGAGGAAAATGGGAGTGATTTTACCCAGTATCCCCTTCTCACTACACCCCCTGGGCTGTGTGGCAAGGGCCTTTCAAGGCAAATGAGAAACAGAGATGGTTTGCCATTGCCTTCCTCTGCAGAGTCTTCCTTGGAGGTCTCCCTTCCAAGTACTGACCCTGTTTAACTTCTGAGATCTGATGAGATCGGGCTATACCATGCCATCTTCCCTTCCAAACTACTGTTAGGGGTCCATAAAATAAGGTAGGAGCACAGCTCTTAAGCTTCTACTGTGCACTTTTTTGCCTTGAAAATAGTTGAGTTGGTGGGGGGGACCAGTGATGCATCCCATGTTGTACAGAGATTTTAGTCTGAAACAGGGTCTGCAGAAAAATTCAGGCAAATTCAAACATTCACATATTCTTCTCTTTTTGCAGGGCTATGAAGTTGATGAGCATGCAGCCAGACAGGCTCGATGGGAAGAGGCATCCAAAGAAACTATCAAGAGAACAACCAAACCATGCCCTAGCTGCCACGTACCAGTAGAAAAAGATGGTGGGTTAAACAGATGACAACCAGCATTTCTGTTACCATCTTTCATAGTAATAGCTTTCCTTAGAAGATGAAGCAATACAACACAGTCAAAGTAATCTACCCTCTGGCTTAGCTAAGGATTCCAGAAAGTGCAGAACAGTATATTGTTCTATTTCTGTAGATCATTGTAGCTTTGCTGTTTGTATTTCCTTTATACAAGAATGAATGGGACAGATTTGTTAACCTTCTAGAGTCGCCATGTAGTGTTTTTAATTAAAAACTTGGGAGCTGAAAACCACTTCTGAAAACATGTCACATTAAGTATTCCTGTGGTGTTTGGGTTGTAGATTTTTGTTTTAGAGAGATCATAAAATAGTAAGATAACAATCATCCAGAAACTTCCTTTCAGTAGGTGGACAAACATTTATACATGCTATGATGATTTCACCCTCCCTCACAGGATATCCCTTTATCTTGTTTTTGGCTGAGAGCCCCTTTTTCTTCTTTTTTAGGAGCTATTTTGTTTAGACTGGATAGGGATCCCCCCCTTTCTAGGAACTATTTCCCTCAGGCTTGAATGGGGATCCTTCTTGATCCTCTCACTCCCTTAGCCACCCTTCCTAGTCAACTGTCAGTTCTTAACTGCCACTCCACAATTATACCACAACAAACACACACTGTTCTGAATGGCTGGATTGCGATTACTACGGCAACCAAAGCTCCCCATACTACATCATGCTGTTGAAGTTTATTGTAGCGCCATGCATGTGTCTGAGCATACTCAGCATTGGAACAAAGTTGGAAACACTTGGTAGTGTTTTCCAATTTCTCTGGTCAGCTGGGGGCCCTGGCAGCTGTCTCACCATGTTATTCTGTCCCCTTAACAAGAGAGAAATCCTGATGTCTTCTAGTAATATTTCTAGATCACTCTCCCTTCAAGGACCACACTGTTCTTTAAAACACTGAAATAAAGTTTGTATACCTCTTATGAAAAATACAGGCAGCCAGTGTTTTATAAGCTGAGCACTCAGCTTTATGTCAGTTACTGGTTCCAGATCAAACTTTAAGTCAATGGCAAAGTAGTGTTTTATAAGCTGAGCACTCAGCTTTAAGTCAATGGCAAAGCCATACTTTCTGGCTCCAAGGATGTCTGCAAAGACCATCAATCCATGCTTCCTTTTTTTACAGTTTTTGTGTTGGCAGTATTAGCCCCAATCATTTTAGGCATCTCAGCAAAGAGGTAAGGTTGAAATGTAACGATTGATTGGTAGTCCGTAAGTGTATGGACTTTTCTCCAAGCCTGAAACTGCATGTGTCCACAGTGCAAAATGATTGTTGAATGAATGATTGTTAAACAGCCACACAGAGAAGCACTGTGTGTACAGGCAGGGAACTGACAGTCATAGCTCCATAACCGTGTGTTTGTAGGTCAAAATCAGAACCTTAATTTGTGCTTGGACATGCGGTTATTGGAACACAATGTTCTGTGGCAAGGGAAGATTGCAGGGTTGTTGTTTTTTACCAGCCGTTGGTGCTGTGTCTTTAACATTAGAAGGTACTGATGTTTTCCATTGTACTTCACCAGATGATTTTTGATTATTCAAATCACCAGATGACTCAAGGAGTTATCAAAGGCACAGAAGCCGACTGGCCTGGTTTCATTTCTAGGCAATTCTAGTACAAAGGTAGTCAAGATGAATTTCAGCTGTGTTGCTTTGAGGGAAAACACATCTACTAAAGCCTGGATTTCTGAATTTATCTAGCCTATAAATTTTAGAGCAGTTAAATCTGAACCTTAAATGCAGCCTGAACTTGTATATCTCAGTTAGTTTGTCAGCTTTTTAGAGACAGAAACTGTCTTCCTTTTGCTGGATTGACTGGACAGAGCATGAAGACCCTTCTGTTTCCAACACATCCCAAAATGTTATAAGCCTGCTTTGTGCTCATCTTGGACGTGTCATTTGCACTCATCAGTCAGTGCTAAAACTGGGTAGGAATGGAGTTTCAGACAGACCTGTTACCCATGTTAGAACATGAATTGGTATTAACAACGGGCATATATTACCTACATTTGACAATACAAGTGGGAGTTTTGAAAAAAACCATAATCAACTTTGAACACGTTCATAGCATCCAAGCATCAGGAATTCATACCAATCAATATATACCATATAACGTTATTTTATTGTTTGAGCATTCACCAATAAACTGTCTCTCATTTGCAATTTCTTGTTTCTGTTGTTTTCGTCCAGGTGGATGCATGCATATGAAGTGTCCACGATCTCAGTGCAGATTTGAATGGTGTTGGAACTGTGGCCTGGAGTGGAATCGGACTTGCATGGGAGATCATTGGTTTGACTGATCCCCAAGTAGCACTGTAAACAATCAAAAACTCACTTAACAATATCCCGGTATTATAGAAAGGAGAAGCACAACTATAGCTGCTTCTATCAGGGTCATATCCTGAACTCTTTGCTCAGGGTGCAAATTCCTCAGTACCCCCCAGGGTCCAGGAGTTCAAGATATGAACCATTTGTTGTCTTCCTACATATCAAATCATCACTATGGGTTTAGGGAATCTGTAGGCTTTCTGATGTAACAGTGGTATAAAAAATGTAGAGGATTAATAGCTCTTTGCTGTGACACTTTATCTCTACCTCCTCACGCACAACTTATTGGTATTCATTCTTTGGGGACATGAATAACCTGTGTCATTGCTGCTTCTCTGTCATGGCTTGTGGGGTTTTTTGCTAAGCCTGGCTTCTGTGGGTATTTTATTGGGCATTCTTGATAAAGAAATACGCAATATCAACCAATTTAAAACTAGCTACACTGATCTTTTTCAACATACCAGCATATAAGTCTGTGGCTGGCACAGCTCTTCACAATTTCCCTTACATATGGTACTATATGATATGCCTTTTCCTACCTTTACAAATACTTGTGATGCAATCCTGTGTACAGTTACTACAGAGGTACTATGCACATTAAGGTCAATTGCCTTAAACTGAAGTAATTCTGCACAGAATCAATTTTCAGTTGTAAACCGCAGTCGTGACAGAAGTGGTAGGTATTGCATCTAATTAGCCACTGCAGAATGATCTTCCATCCCAGCTACGGCAAGAATTCGCTGGAACTGCACATTGGCCGACAGCAAAGGATGCATTAACTGACCTTCACGCGGTGGCAATTTTATTGGAAACATTTAGTGTAACTAACTACCAAGAACAACTTGGCTGTTTACCTTTATCAAAGATCAGTATTTTAACTTTCTAAAGTCTAAAGTCTGTCTATCAGCACAGATAGGCTGATAAGGGCAGATTTAAATGTCCATTATACCCATCACCATAGGGGATTGATGACACAAGAATTTTAAGGTAGAAGCAGACATGATATCAGTGGATCCATGCCTTTGAATGCAGATCCCCAGTAAAATGGGACAGAAGCAAGCAAGTCTAGTTATGTTTAATTTTACAGGTGTTTTTTTGAATGTATGTTAAAATTAGTTTTTAAACCAAGAAAGGCCAGATTCTCTCTCTTTACCTTACTACTCAGGCAGAAATACAGGGAATGTTACCTTGCATTAAGGTTCACAAGCTTTGGCCCAGCACAGAAAATGATCTGTGCTAATAGCGTAGATTTACACCTTAAATCTTTCCAAAATTTGTTCCAAAGTTGTCTCTGTTTCCTAATTGTTCGGACAATCTTTGTACAGCTTCTTAGAAATCAGTTTCATCCTGTGTCCTGCTCAGCGGGAGTCGAGTTCAGATGAATGCATAGACTGTTGACTGCAGAGCTTTTGTTCTCTAGGTCTGTAGGTAGAGTATAGCTAGAAAGCTTCTGTGGAAATGCCCACTGCAGTGTGTGCAGTTTCCTTGTTCCCCTTTCCTTTAAATATTGTTTTTCACTGTTGTGTCTAGGGATCAGGGATCTTTGCAAACAAAGTAATGTTGGTGTGCTGTCATGACAAAAAAGCTTTGAGTGTGTTCTGAACCCCAACATCAGGCACTCTGACATGGTAATAAAGCTTTAACCTAGGGCTGCAGTATTATTCCTGCTTGGTTGGTTATAGAAGGTAGAACTGATCTTATTTGCAATAAAATCACAGTGTGTAAAGATTAGTAGTGCAATCCTGAGCAGAATCACTCCACTTTGAACCTATAAATTTCAGTGGGCTTAGACTGATGCGGAGTGGTACACACGACTGCATTTTTTCATTCTTACTATAGTAGAATCATCAGTACATAGCATCTTTCTTGTAAATTAGAAAGTGAGCATTCTTGAATACGTGTAAAGAAAAGCTAATTATAACTTCTAAGAAAGCAAACAATACCTGATTTGAATAAAGGCTACTGAATGTCTGCAGATTGTGTGTATTCTTCTATCACAGCTGGAATATATACAACAAGCCGGAATATAAAATAAAATGGTACTGAAGCTTTTTAACTATTTCCTTCTCCTTTAATTGAGCAAAAAATCTTTAAAGTATACAATCCACACAGATAGAATTCTTGATTAATAACATGAAACCAAAAAGTTGGGGTGGGAGAGAAAGATTCATTGCAAACAAAACCCAGTAATCCAATTTTCTGTATAGGCCATCATACCTTTGGTTTAACTGTAGTTTTTGTTTTCTATGTGACAAAATGTTCGATTCTAAATAAGTAGTATCCTCCAGCTATCTCTCAGCCACAGCCTTCTTTGTGTAACCTGAGGATAACAGTTCACATTTTTTAGACGCAGTAATTACAAGGGTTAGTGAGATAATGGTCCCAATCCAAAGAGGCACACTGAAATAAATAGGGCTCCAGTTATTATAGCTAACTTGACCTATTGATTTAAGTGGGACTCAAACTACAATGCTCATTCTCTCTTTGTCTGGATTGGGGCCAATTTGCATGATGCACTTGAATGCTTTATAAATACGGAGGAGGAGTATTGCTTGCAGGAAAAGCCATACTGTGCAGGAATATGATAGAGATCTCTTCCGAATGCCAGTGCAATACCATATGGTACTTTCAAGGTAATAATCAACATTTTGAAATGTGCCAAACTCGTGTAGCAACAAGAACAGCAGCTGCTTGTCAGATCCTGCAGTCTGTGAAAAATCTTTTTGAGTGGCTAATAAGAAGACGGGGACAGCAAAGGATGAGATGGTTAGACAGTGTCATAGATGCAACGAAAATGAAATTGAGCAAACTTCAGAGGACGGCGGAAGATAGGAGAGCCTGGCATGATCTTGTCCATGGGGTCGCAAAGAGTCGAACTCGACTGTGCGACTGAACAACAACAAAAAATATGTCATGCTTGTAATTTATATTACTAGTCTTCTGCTTTTTCTATATTGGACTATAAATGGTTTACCATGGAACAATTTGACACTTATCTGAAAAAGGTCTGATAGTAGGGTTTTTAAATCCGGATGAAGTCCAAAGGAGAATGGGGGTTCTGGTAAGTCTTGAGAATTTCCCCAGTGGTTATCCACACTGCACATACAAGAAAGTCTCCTGCACTAAGCATAGCCAGTGGCATCATCCTGCCACACTGAAGCTGGAGTCTTCCACATAGACAACATGGTCAAGGGAAAATGTCATGCTGTATTAATAATGAAGGAGGCTTCTGGGCCTGCAGTAGAATCCACAAGATTCTAGCAAACTTTGTTCCACTCTGATTTGGTCTTGCTGAAAATGGAAGTCAGCAGTATTCATAATTTCATCAAGCATAATCTCATGAATTTCATATTAAAGTCATGTACAGCATCATATGGATAGAAATAGAAACTTAGGTACTCTGTTTCTAGGCTATTTAGGGCTTTAAAGGTCAATGTTAATGTGTTGAGTTATTGGGCCAGTACTATTTAATTTATTCATAAACAATCTGGAACTAGGTGGGAGTGGTGTCGTGGACAAGTTTGACACAAAATTATTCAGGATGGTGAAAACCAGGGCTTTTTGTGTAGAAAAAGCCCAGCAGGAACTCATTAGCATAATAGGCCACACCCAATAGCAGAAACTCGTTAGCATATTAGGCCACAGCCCTGATAGTGCCACTCATTAGCATATTAGGCCGCACCCACATGTTACCAGAAGTCTGGTCATCCAGCCACACCCACCTTTTGCTTCTTATTCTGTTGACCTTGTTTGTTGTCAAAACCCAGGGCTTTTTGTGTAGCAGGAACTCCTTTGCATGTTAGGCCACACACCCCTAATGTAGCCAATCCTAATGAGTTTCTGCTGTTGGTGTGGCCTATTATGCTAATGAGTTCCTGCTGGGCGTGGCCAACTTGGGAGCCAGCCGGAACTCCGTTCCTGTGCGTTCCTGCCCAAAAATAGCCCTCGTGAAAACCAAGGCTGACTGTGAAGAGCTCCAAGAGGACCTCCACAAATTGGGTGAGTGGGCCACAAAGTGGCAAATGAAGTTCAGTGTTGGTAAGCGTAAGGTGATGCACACTGGGACGAAAAATCCCAACTTCAAGTACATGCCAATGTGGTCTAACCTTGCTGAGACTGAGAGGGGAAAAGATCTTGGGGTCGTAGGGGATAGCTCAATGAAAGTGCCAACCCAGTGTGCTGCAGCAGTGAAAAAGGCAAACTCTATTTTAGGGATTATTAGGAAAAGGATTGAGAATAAAACAGCTGCTATTGCAATGCCCCTGTAGAGATCTATGGTGAGGCCTCATTTGGAATACTGTATACAGTTATGGTCACTGTATCTCAAAAAAGGACATTGGAGAGCTGAAAAAAGTGCAGAGGAGGGCAACCAAGATGATTAGGGCGTTGGAGCACCTTATGGGGAAAGTCTGAAGAATCTGGGACTTTTCAGTTTAGAAAAGAGATGTGATGACAGAGGTTTATAAAACTATGCATGGGATGGAGAGAGCTGACAAAGAGACATTTTTCTACCTCTCCCAAAGTACTAGAACTCAAGGGCACCCAATGAAGCTGATGGGCAGTAGGTTCAGGACAGACAAAAGGAAATACTACTTCACACAGAGAGTGATTAAAATGCGGAATTCACTGCCAGAGGAGGTAGTGATGGCCACAGGTATAAACGGCTTTAAAATGGAATTAGATTCATGGAGAATAAGTCTATCAATGGCTACTAGCCATGGCAACTGAGGGAAACCTCCACATTCATGTATACTAATTCTCTGAATCCCAGAGCCAGGAAGCCACATCAGGGGAAGGCCTCCACCTCTATGCCCTGTTATTGGCCCTCCAGAGGAACTGGTTGGCCACTCTGTGAGACAGAATGCTGGACTAGATGGACTTTTGGTCTGATCCAGCAGGGCTCTTCTTATGTTCTTATGAGTTGGGGCTGGAAACAATGGGCAACCAATGCATAACACTGATGTTATATGATCCCCACAGTGGGCTCCATTTAGAATCCTTATATCTGCTTTTGAGCCAGTTAAAAGTTTTCATAATTTTTCACAGGCAGCCCTACATCTCTCCTTATATATAATCGTATTTTCACGCGGGAACATTCTATGTGTGCCAAAATCAGTTGGTTGCCTAATCTGTCACTCAGAGGGTGTCCCTATGCACTGGCTGCATTGCCTGAGTCCCGCCCACAAAAGCAGCAGGCGCCAAAAATCGTCTCAGAAGACACATTCAGCTTAGGAGAGAACACAAAGACTCCCAGCCTTTTGCTTCCCGCTGACTCTGGCCCTGCCGCTCCCCGCTGCCACTGCTCCCGGCTCAGCCTCGGCCTGCACTCCACACCACTGCCTGTCCCAGCCCCGCCTAGAGCCCCAACGATTCCCCGAGGTGAGTAGCCAGCCTTCCTCCTGCATTTCGGCCATGTTGCTAGATGAGACTCCCCCCACCCCAGTTGTTCCCACTTGCCTGGTGGGGCATGACAGCAGATCACATCTTCTTGCCACAGGCCTTGCAGCAGTGGAGGGGCAGCACCTTGTTAAAGGATGAGACCGATATGTGATTTATGTTTGCTGCTGCACACACACACACACAAATGGACTGTGCGCGCACACACCCATAGGCTCAGAAAGCTGTACAAATCACCTGTTGTGACACTACACATAGAAGGTGCCTGCACAAAGGTGCCTTACATGTGAATTGGTTTTCAGCTACACTGCCAGCCTGGTGAAGGAAAGCACACATCTCCATATTGTCATCAGAAACAACAAGCAGCCACTATTGCTAAATTGTTGAAAGACACGTATTCTGCATCTCTGCTTAATTTCTGAATGGCATTTCCTGCTAGATGGACCCTTTGATGATCTGGGAATGGCCGAGCTTCATCTGCACTTCAAGGAGGCTCCTTGACGCCAGGTTTCACACTTGCCCAGATGCCCTACTTTGAGTTAGGTCTTAAGTTACAATATTGCCCAACCCTCTAGGTTGCCACCCCTCACTGCACGCAACCAATAGGATTAGTTTTGGGATGGACTAACAGGTAGGTGGGTCCACAGGTTGGCATAGTTGCCACCCACCCAAAGATCCACCTATAAAAACCAGTTGCCTGGCCTTTGGTAGCCGCAATCCCCCCAACACCCCCTGTCTGCTCTAAATCCCCTTTTGTCCAGCTTTCTATCCCCAATCCTTGCCTCTACTGCCCACACAAGCTGGCTGGTTCTAGCTGTGTGTTAAACTTCCCTAGAATTCTTTTCTTCCCATCCATTCTTGGAACTGACAAGCTTCAGGCCAGATAGGTATCTCCCATCATCACCCTACCTGCTAATGCAAAAGTGACTATTTTTAATTCTGTATTTCTAAGGAACTTGATTGAGTGTTTTGAGTGCATCTGTATTGTTTGTATGTGATTTATATATTCTTAAGTAAAAGACAGTAATTTTGAACAACACCAACCTTGACTCCTTCTACTGGTAACCCTTGGTGGGAGCTGGACCTTGGTAGACATTGGCAAGAACCCATCTAAATTTTGCCAATTACTGTAGATAAAGCAATTCGGCTAACAACCTGGATGGCCCAAACTCTGATGGCAAAATGGCCGCTTCCCTGGCAGACCCCAACGGCACGGAGCTTCGCCTGCCTGCATTCCATGGCGGGGGAGAGGGAGGTGGAGGACGCTTTTTAGGTAGAAGGTCCAAGGACCTTAACCATCAACTATGCAGGAACAAAACTTTTAGAATTGTCCACTGTTCATCAGCTCCACAACCTGCATGGTACTGGCTTTGACTCTTCGCATGGGACATATACATACATCTCCTCTCAAGGTGCTAGTACAATTGATTATATTCTTGTTTCATCCTCCCTCCTACCCCATGTTCTTCACTTCAGTGTTGAAGACAGGCCTGAGAGCGAGCATAGTCCATTAAGTCTAACTTTAAATTTCATAGCAAAATATTTGACCCACAACC